ACTCCCACTTTCACCTACAGGTTCCCACCACCTCTACAGTCATAGCACATTCCACAAGTTTGCTGCTACAGCAGGAAGCTCTTGAGTCTCCGAGCCGCAGCCTTGCAGAACACAACCCCATTCACCTCCAGCCATGGTGTTTGCTCAAACATCATTTATTTTAAGTCTGCTCTCGCTTCATTCTGCCTCAGGCCTAGATCAGGTCAAGCAGACCAACCCCAACCAGAAGCAAGAGCTCTCTAAAACCTCGATTAGCGAAGCAGAGGCTTCTGTACGACTGAGAAAGCCTCTCTAATGAGAGCTTTCCTTCCAGCTCTTTGATTAAGCACAGTAGCCAGAACAGCAAAAGTGACAGAAATGTTCACTGGGGGCCTTACATTTAGCCTGTGTAAGCAGTCAAGCCAATGGCAGCTGATGGAGTATGTGAGCATTCACTCCATGATGTGAGAGCCGGAAGAACAGGCAAGCATAGCTCTGCACCACAGTGCTGCCCATTTCTTAGAGCAGTTACCCCCAAAGACACTGCATGCTCAGTCCATTAAGCTTTGAGCTCTCTGTCACAGATGGTTTAGCTGAAAAACAGGAGCAGGACAGAAGTGCAGAGGTTTCCTTTGTTAGCAGGAGCAAAGACAGGAAGGGGAAAGATGTATGCAGAGTAAGGAAAGTATCACACCAAAGGTAAAAATTCCAAATGAAATACAACTTAGAGAAATCTCAGCTCACTACCCTAAGTTAATTTTAAGGATTTTCAGGAGGCAATACAACAGAGGCAGATTCACACTGGGGGGGTTCTGAGATCAGTGAGTGGGAGGTTCCTTCATACCAAGACAAATCACAATAGTTCTCTTTTGGGAGAGAGAAGTGGGGGGTGCCTGGGGCTCTCTATAGCTCTTGGGATTCCCTTTATACACCCTAGTGCCACAGCAAACACAGCACTGGACACTCCTTTTCAGTCAAAACAGTCAGTAGTATATACTGGATACCTAGCTGCCTCTTCTTAAAACAGCCATCATCTTATCTTCACAGCAGCAGTATTTTGCACATGCCAGGGCAATATTCCCTGGCATCCTGGAATCAGAGGCAGGGAAGAGTAAGAGTCCCCTGCATTTATTTCAAATTTATCCACAGCCATCAATGAATTCTGCCATATTTGAGCAGTACGGAGTAGCTCCTGTAAGCACTACCGCTTAGAGGATGTACCTCCTACTTAACCTTAACCTTAGTACCTCACCCAGCAGAGACAGAGAATTTAGTTACTCCAAGAAAACACACTTAATAGCTTCCTTTTTGATAAAGTTTCTGGGAGCCAGGGTCTGCATAAAGCATTAGGTTGATCCATCCTGTCCTGCAGATACACACTGCTACACTCACTCTGGAAGCTGGGGCTGTATCAGCCAGAGCCAGAAATAGTCAGGCAAGTTGCAGAGAGCTAAATGCTCCCTGCCAGCAGCCACTCTCATTTCCTTTAAACCATTGATAGCCAGAGGGTCAGCATGTACATCCTGCACCTTTAAAAATGGTCTTGAATTTAACATTTTTGCTGCCTCTGTGCTGTCAGATAGGATAAATTTTTAAGTCATCCACTGTTGTATGTTACACATAATTGAAAAAATGATTTTGGATAGATATTACAATGCTCCAGTGGCATTTCTTTCACTTGACCAGCATTATCTGCAACAGCATCCATCCTTCTCAGGATTTGGTGCCGTAGATGTTGTCCTACCCAAACAAATTTCCATAGTGACAGACAATTTGTCCTGCCTTTATTTTCCCCCTCAAACATTCCTCAGGGAAGTAAAACTTCACTCCCTGCTAGGCTCTTAAGCCTTTCGTATGATTAGTTTATGGATATGCAAAGATATATCAGCTCTTTCTTCCCAGGGAGAACAGTCACCTCATGCTTTCCTGAAATTACCATACAGATTTGCTTACAGAGAGACTAATATGATTTTCCTTATTTAGAAGCCAACAGCTGTTTAATATACCACGTTCTGTTTAGCCTGATTTGTGTCAGGCTTGAGGTGTCAAAAGCAGAGAGGCTGGCCATAGACACTGCTGATGGGAGCTAGTCTGGGTCTGGAAAAGCCAGACTAGAGCAAGTTAAAACATTAACAACTAAGAATATTCTAATTTTCAGCTAAGAGCTCCTATGGGAACCAAAACAACACAGGAAGGGCTGCAATCCACAAAGCCTGGCTTCACTGAGCCCTGGCTAGTCTGTCTTCAGGAGAAGCCAGGCAAGGCCAGCTGACTGGAAAACAACCCAGCAAAGGTCACAACACAGCAAAACCATCAAGGAGCCCCTGGCAGCTTGTCCCAGGGGTGGCTGGAATCCAGTCAACTGGCACTTCCTCACCTGTCTAAACCAAGGCTGGAGAGGAGCCTTGGGGTCAAACACCAGCCCCTGAGCACGTGCCAAACTAACAACATAAGCAGAATGAGCTGCATTATCACACAGGAAATCTAACTCCCTTTCACCAGCCTCAGCATTTGTGAGGCATTTAACACAAAATAAAGTTATTAACCAAGAGGTACGGGAGGTGTTTAACCAAACTCCAATCCCTTGGTTCTCCCTAATATGCAGCTACCAGATCACTTTGCAGAAATAAATAAATAATAAATTAAAAAAAATAAAATCTTTGTAGGTCTGTACGGCCAAGAAAAGCATCTAGAATTTGAAAAGAAAGAAGGGAGTGTTTAGGGAACATTTGTTCTCCATTTGTCTCACAAGCTAACTGGCTAACACCACACCTCCCAAGCAGGAAAGCTGCTCCATTGCTTTTCATTTCTCATTTCTTTGTGCTCAGACACCACATTCGCAGAGACATTAGTCAGAAAAATGCCCCTTTGTACCACCATAATCTACTCTGGCCTGACCATTTCAGAACAGTTAATCACCTCCTTCAGAACAAGGCCAGTCCCAGAGTCCTTTCTTTCACCACTGCACACACTCTACAAGCCTGCAGGCAGAATTCCTGGGATGCCACAAGGTAGAGGCTCCTCTGTCTCCCTATCTCTTAAAGCCCAATAAAAATTATTTACAGCCTCTCCGGGCTATCTGGTTTAATCCTCTCCAGCTCAAGTATGACACTTGCTGGGACACTATTAGGTTTCTTACGGTGCTGTGACTAGCAATCACATCTGCACCTGACTGTCAGGGGACACTCTTGGCTGAGCCGGCCACCCTGGTCTATTGCTGAGAGCTCTGAAATTTCTCAATTGAAACATTTGAAAGTTAATGAACCCTTTTAACACAAAGCTCCCACAGCTCAAGAGTTCTTTTATGAGCCCAGCACACGGTGGATGCACAGGAAAACCTTACTTCAGGCAGGGCTCTCTTTTCAGAACATGCCCAGGCAGAAGGCTGGACTCTCAGGAACAGCAAATGGCAGCCAGTAGCAAGAGGCACAACCTACAGGGTATCTTGGGTGGCTCTGCCATACAGTACTCCAGGCCACAGCAATGCCTATAGCTTTGCTAACAGGCAAAGCTATGGTTTTAATTCACCAGTTAAAAAAATCAAATAAAAAGAAGACATCTCACTGCAAAAGTATCACATCACCCAAATGCTCCTGGGTAGGGAGGCGGGTCCCAACCTCACTGAGAGAAATGCAGTATTTGAAATAGGGGTGGCAATAATCACAAGCCCTCACTGAATGAACATGTGGCTGTTATAAATGTAAACCCACTCTTAACTCTCTAAAAACAGTTATCAATTCACAGCCACTGAACAAATGTGAAACAAATGTAAAACAAATGTAAAATGTGAAAAAAACTCTGGAGTCAGCAATATAGTAATGTCATTGCAGGAAAAAAGACAATCTTTTCAAAGCAACAATTTACTCACGTACATCTTCATTTGAACTTTGGTTCATCTTCCAGGAACACCTTTCTGTCCTGTGGAACCTGTACCTTAAAGCAATCAGATCTAGAACCAGAGCCCACCCATTCCACTCTCCACAGTCCCACCACTGTTTGCAATCTCCAAAATCCATTAGTACCCCAAGACACAGACTCAGACACAGAGAATTGCTGCCGTTTTTACAGGCATTTAACAAGTCCTTCAGCAGAAGGCAAGAACAGGAGACATTACCAAGGAAACGCAGTGCCTCTGCCCCAGAAGCACAATCTCCTTCCAGGTTTCACTCATGTTCCTCCCTCCCGTGATGCCCACCTGGCCCCAGGGACACCACCAGACCCAGGGATACCACTGCATTTAACCGGCAGCACAGGAATGGGATTGGACTGGTGCACCCAACACCCAAAGCATAGGGCAGACTGGGCTATCACTGCCGTGGCAGAGAAAGGGACTGGCTTTTGTTTTTCAGTTCTGGGTCTTTTTCCCCCCTCTTTTTAATTGCTAAGCCTGCAAATGGGGCTGAGCATGGGGAGGGGGGAAGGGAACAGAATCTGGTGAACAGCTGGGGCCTATCACTTTTCATTGCAGGTCTTGGAGAGATGTGGTTGACAGAGTGATGCACAGAGGCTGTCCCAGTTAATGACTTCACCATTCTCCATCATTATCCCCATCATTAGGAAATTAGGAGGACAGAAGGTATTTACTGTAAACCTGCCACCTCCCAAGGAGAGATAAATAGAAACTGATAAATGGGATCTTCTGGTGCTGTTCGTCTATTAACCTTCTGCTTCCCAGTTTAGGCATATGCATGCTATCCTGCCATTAATATCCAGTAATTGGCATAGCAGTGGGCAACACGCTCCTACCTTGAGCGTCAAACATCTCCCGTGCTGCATGTGAGTGCACGACTACGCGCACCACAGCTCTGCTGCCGGGCCGGGGAAGGGCCCCTGTGCAGCTGCTCACACCTCCGCTCTGAGTCTGAGTGACCAGGCAGACCTGCTGGGTCTGAAGGGAGGCACCCATTTGGTCGCAGGAGAGGGGGCTGTGTGTGCATGACCTCCCCTCTGTGGAAGCAACAAACCAGCAGGTAGGTACACTGGCACCTCCAGCTGAGCTGCTGTGTGTTCTATCAGCCTACCTCTGAATACAGCTCACAGATGCCTCCGGGGATGACAGTCCAGCTCGCTGAACCACGTTCCTCTGAACATCAAGGAATGAAGCATTTTCCTTACCATTGTGAAGTGTTCTGTAAGCTGCTAAACAAAAAGAAGAAAAACAAGCTTATGAGACCTCAGAATTTATGACTTTTCCTTCCTGGTCAAAAAGCAGCCAATGCTTCCTCAATCTGTACTGACACTTCTGCAGCTCCCTGGCCACACAAGTGGCCCTTTGCATGTGCTGACTTGCTTCACCCCCACAGGTTGAACCTCTAGAAAGTAACAAGTCCTCAGAGAGACAAACTGAGCCACTTTTTCCTCAGCAACCCAGCCCTGCAAAGCTGAAGCAAGTCCACACTCAGAGAGACCAAGATTCTACATAAGCCAGCTCTCCCGCCCACATAGAAAGCAGGCTCACTTGCAGGTCAGTAACCAATCATTTCTTCCACCGAGATTATGCCTCTATTTAGGTAAAACCCCACTGCACTGCTACTTTCCCCTATTACGTGACCTTATTAACTGCTTTACTTACCCTACCTCTAGCATTTTCCTTTCAACCAGCATTACAGTTTCCAATTCATGTGGCGTGCAGGTGACTACAACTCAGAGACACCAGCCAAGACTACAGCTGCCATTTCTGATGAGGAACAATCAGAACAGCTTAACACAAGTCTTAAGACTATCACATGATTATGGCAATATTTATCAACATGTAACCTTTTCCAGAAGCTCAGGAAAAGCAGAGGGCCTGTTCTTACATGTACTAACCTGGCAAGCAGTTCATCTGCTCTGTGTTGGATCGGCGGCTCCAATACATCGGAAGGAAGGACTGCAGGTATGAGCTGTGCTTGCTCCTTCCACACACACCGGCTTAGACACATCAACTCTGCGCAGGAGAGCAACGCCAACGCGATTGCGATGGCAAGTTCTAATGGGAACACCAGCATTAATTCCCATCTGTCTAAGCAACTGGCAGTGTCCATCAATTACGGCAAGAGCCAACTAACAGTTGCAGCTGCAAAATAAAAAGAGCAGAATTAACATTTCAAGTTTCTGTCATTCACCTGAATTTTTTACAGTTGTAATTAGCAAGCTGCAGAAGCTGTCAACAATCAACATCAGCCAATCTGTCTGCACCAGGAACCCGACTACATGCCAGAAATTGTCCTCGACAGGTTTTTTTTTCCCCTTGCTTCCCTCCATTAGAATTTTCCCTTCAACCCCCCCAACATTCATCTCTTTTACCATCAATCACTAGAATTGAACTTGTCAAAACAGTGAGAGACAGAATGACTGACACTTAACAGATAAAGTCATAATTATTTCCTTTCTCCAAACCTCAGTATCCAAACATGCTGCTCTCTCCCCAGGCCTCTGCTTCCCTACCAATACAGGAGCAATTTTGCAGCCCCTTCCCAAAAATGCAACCCTTACCCAACCCCGAACATTTTTTTCTGGGGGATACTGAGAAATTTAAAGAAGCTTTCCAGCTGAAGGCCTGCTCTTTGATGAGCTGGTGCAACTGGTTTCCCAACCTGCAGCAGAAGAGCTTGTGACAACATCCACCTGCTCCATTTACCCACGAACACCCAAACAACCAGTGCTTCAATTTTTGTCTGTTGCATCAAACCACACAAACATGAAACACACAAGCAAAAAAATCAAGACAAAACCAACGAACTCCAAACACTTGCTCTTTTTAGTGCTAGCCAGAAAACAATACTTTATAAACACCTGAGAGTGTACAAAGAAAGCATCCTAAGAGACCACGGACACCTTGGATCAGATGATCTGCTTTGAGGGAGAAGTTATGGTGATTGTTGTGGTGTTGCTTTTTTTACAGGGTTGATTTTTTCCTGTTGTTTTTTTGGGGCTTTGTTTGGTTGGCTTGGGTTTTTCCGGGTTTGGTTGCTTTTTGTCTTTTTACATGAAGTTCTCACATTTTTAAAGCTATCGATCTTTTTCAAAACAAGTTGTGGCACAGACAACATACCTGTCATTAGCAATTAAGGGCTGATTTGTAACCTTTGCATTCACAGTAGATTAGAACACATTAGACATACACAACTAGCCAGGGGCAGCTGTAAATGTTCAGGGATAAACTGCTCTCACAGGTGCATCGCCTCAGGTACTTTCCTACTACCTGAGCTCAGCTGACCTGGGTGAGCTCATCATCTGCAGCATTGCTGTGCTCGTTTCCAACATAGTGACCCAAAGACATGACTGTGGCAGAGCTGTGGGTAACATTTGAAACAAAATACTGCTTGAATAGGAAGCTCTAACTGCGCACTCCACACACACTCTGTTATCTGACATCTACTTAATGCATTAATCCATCAGCCACCTGAGCAACTACAATAAAACCATAAAGCCAGAGCATAAAAACAATAAAACAAGAGTCTCAACAATTTGTATATCTACCAACAAAAAATGCATGAAGTGCTCCTTTTCTTCAGGAACCACTCGAGTAGGTTTCATACACAGCTCTTATGTAGATACTGGCAAACCCAGTAGAGCTAATGTAGGATTCATGAGTTACTACACATACTTACTATGAGTTACTACCATAGCAGAGTCTTAACGACCAACTAACACTGGAACAGTACACAAAGCAGAAAAGACTTCCCTGGCATTCTTACACAAATTATATCTATAAATTGACAAATAATGAGATAAAAAGGCAGTTATTAACACAGAAATATCTGAAGAACATGTTGGAAGGAAAGCTCTTCAGCCAAAACCTCACCAACCTGAGGGCACAACAGGAAAGTACAAAAGACCTGCTACTTCAGGAGTGGCTTAAACCCCTTAGCACAATATTGCACAGAGTTCACCTGCTTTGAAACCACAGGACACAAATCTTTTTCCCAGCCAGATGGCGAGACATGGACCTGCTTCCAGCCTGGCACTGTGAGACACAGCCTAAACCCCTTAGAGGGCCCTCTCTTCCCAAAACTAGCCGGGCACTGCTTCCCAGTATGGCAAATCCCCTTCTTCCTCAAACTCATCTCGGGAGCAGCAGGAAGGATATGGCACCATCATTCAGGAATAAGGAAACCGAGACCAGGCCTCCCAACCCCGCAGCCGAGGCCACCCAGCACCCCAAAGTGCCGGAAAGCACTCCCTTCCCCAGCAAGCACAGCTTTCGTACCGACAAAATCCAGCCGGAGCCTGGGGGAACAGCCTGAGGGGATGTGCGGGGCCGGCGCTCCCCGCCTCGCGCCTGAGGGGACCCTCACGCGCCTGAGGGGGGGAAGGAGGGCAACGCTTCCCGCCCGCAACTCCGCTCAAAAAACCTTCAGCAGAAGAGCTTGTTACCCCCAGTTACAGTATCCGCTTGCTCCATTTACTCAGGAACACCCAAACAACCAGCCCTTCCGTTTCTTTTTTCTGTCGCAAAAAACTACACAAACATGAAGCCAACCAAAAAACCAAACAAAACAAAAAGCCCCAAACAAACAAAAAACCCCAAACAAACAAAAACCCCCAAACAAACAAAAACCCCCAAACAAACAAAAAACCCCAAACAAACAAAAACCCCCAAACAAACAAAAAACCCCAAACAAACAAAAAACCCCAAACCAAACAAAAAACCCCAAACAAAAAAACCAAACCAAACAAAAACAAAACAACAAAAAAACCCCAACTCAGAACAAAATCAAAAACCTCCAAACATTTGCTCTTTTCAGCTTTAGGTAGAAACCAATACTTCCTAAACACCCCAGATTCTACAAGGAAGCATCCTAGGAGACCAGACACCTTGAACCAGATGCACTGCTTTGAAAGGAAACTTATATTCGTTGTTGGGTTTTCTTTTTACAACCTTGGCTTTTTTCTGTTGTTTTTGGGTTTTGTTTGGGGTTTTTTCCGCGTTTTTTAGCTTGTTTTGTAATAAAACCTTAGCATTTTTAAAGCTAGTGATCTTTTTGAAACCAAGTTGTGGCACAGACAACATATGTGTCATTAGCAATTAAGAGCTAATTTTTAACCTCTGTATTCATAGTAGACTAGAACACATTACATTTACCGCAACAAGCCAGGGACAGCTGTAACTCTCCAGGGATAAATCGGTCCCTCCCTTCCCCAGCACGTAAAGCTTCCTTACCGACAAAATCCAGACGGAGCCTCGGGGAACAGCCTGAAGGGATGTGCGGGGCTCACGCTTCCCGCCTCACGCCTGAGGGGACCCTCACGCGCCTGAGGGGCAGCGCTCGCGCTTCCCGCCTCGTCCCTGAGGGGACCCTCACGCGCCTGAGGGGCGGGGCGAGGCTCGCGCTTCCCGCTTCCCGCCTCGCCGCGCGTACCTCGCTTCAAGGGGGGCGCGCGCGGCCTCGTGACCTCCTCGTGACTTCCTCGTGACTTCCTCGTGACTGCCTCGTGACTGCCTCGTGACCGCCGTCCCGTGCGGAGGCCGGGACGGCGCCCCCTGCTGTCCGGCCGCGTGCCCGCGGCTGGGAACGGGCGGAATGTTGGGATGAAATTCTCAACATTCTCCTCACACTGACGTTAGAGACTACACAGAGGAACTGTAGTGCACGACAGATTAATTCAGATCAATAAACCAAGGGAAGGCATTACTAAAACTGGCACAAAGGAAGCTCAAGAATGCCCTGAAGCTCTATGGCCTGATTTCACAAATAGAATTAAACAGCAAGGCATTACACATCAAGTAAAATGCACTCAGCAAGAAATTACCACATACTTATCCAATTTTCTTTTAGCTTCACATGATTAATTTTAAAGTTGAAGAAATTCCCAATACCTGCTAATTTTAAAATTTCACTAATAAAAGAGAGCGGGAAAATGGAGAAGGGGCATTTTTGTTTTCAGAAACAGCATTTCAGGAGATTGCAAACATAGCTCCTCACACTGCTTATTAAGGAAAGTCTAGAAGGCATTTATCAAGCAAAGCCGACAATGCTGTTAAGCAAGAATTCAAGTTGGGAATGTCAGGATCCGGGACAGGTCTCTGCTCTGGGAGCTGAAGCAGTCTATGGCCCTGTGTTGATGGTGCCACGGGACCCTGCACGCAGGGCCCTTGGCCTGCCTGTGCCAGGGTGTCCCGATGGGCCCACGGCACCACTGCCCCGCCTGGAGCTCGCAGAGCAGCACGGGGGCTCTGGAGCAGAACGCTCGCAGGAGTCAGCGTGGATCCAAAACCTGTGAGAGGAGCAGATGCCGGGGGTCACGGCGCGCCTGGCCGGGCATGAGCCAAGCTGTCCAAGTGACTGCAGGGCGCCCGAGCCATCCTGTCTCCCTGGCAGCAGCAGGAGCGCCGTGGCTGATGGAAAACAGAGACAGGAGCGTGTTGGCGCAGACCAACAGAGTCAAGGGGAAAGGATGGACAAGGGAGCACCGGGTGCTGTGCAGGAGGTGTACGGGAGGAACGTTATCAGCTCCACCAGTTATTTCCAGTTCTGAACCCCTAATGTGAAATGGTCAGCTCTGTTTCAGCTTTCCAGTTTAGGGTCTCGAGTTCACTGTTTCTGTCACAGCATCCTGGCTTTTTGGTGCTCCCAACTGCCTTCTCTTTATACAACCCAAGTGACCATCTGCAGACTATCCAGGAGTAGAGAGCAGCACAGGGAGTGTCAGCCCCAGGATGGACTGAGTACAAGTGTCCCAGAACATTCCTGACATCTGCTCAAGGAGGATATGCTCTTCCCAGCAAGGACACTAAGCAGAGACAGGGCCTTAATGATGATGATTCAAAGTGCTGGGAAAAGTTCTTTCTCTTTCCTCAGAAACAAGAACCCAAAGTCTCAAAGACTTTAACCCCCCAGCCCAGGTGTTTCCCTGAGCCTTACCCCATCTCACAGGCTGATCACAAAGGCTGCACTTCCGTAGCTGGCATCATATCCTAGTTATGTAGTTTAGGTTTCCTTGGGGTCCACTGGGAAATGCAAGGAAGAAACCTTAAATTTTATCAGGAGATTGGTTTTTTACCTTGAAAATTATCCAGGATTTTCCCAAAATGACAAAAGCGAGATCGTGAATTCCCTTTACTAAAATCAT